TAAAAGACGCCTGCTTCTTGGGAGGAAAGTGATGACAAACCTAGACAACATCTTAAAAAGCAGAGACATAATCTTGCCAACAAAGGTCCGCATAGTCAAAGCTATGGTTTTTCCTGTAGTGATGTATGGAAGTGAGAGCTGGACCATAAAGAACGCAGACCGCCGGAGAATTGATGCTTTTGAATTGTGGTGCTGCAGGAGGCTCTTGAGAGTCCCCTGGACTGCAAGGAGAACAAACCTATCCATTCTGAAGGAAATCAACCCTGAGTGCTCACTGGAAGGACAGATCCTGAAGCTGAGACTCCAAGACTTTGGCCATCTCATGAGAAGACTCCCTGGAAAAGACCCTGATGTTGGGAAAATGTGAAGGCAAGAGGAGAAGGGGATGACAGAAGACGAGATGGTTGGACAGTGTCATCGAAGCTACCAACACGAATTTGACCCAACTCCGGGAGGCAGTGAAAGACAGGAGGGCCTGGTGTGCTCTGGTCCATGGGGTCACGAAGAGTCAGACATGACTAAACAGCAACAAATACTTGATCACCTATGGCAAATATGGAGTGGCATGAAACTATGGGTTTGGGAGATCTATGCTTTAGTACCTTGCCACTGAGCCAAGCAACATCCTGACATGTCATGTACTATCTTTGCTTGGATTCATATTCAGTACATCAATAGTGTATGAGAACAAGCTGGCATAAGTGTAATTGTGTATGTTGTAGCAGCATAGTATTACTACTGATTAACAAACTACTGTTCATGTTTCTGGTGCTGTTATCAATCCACTAAATGAAGAATGCGGGACAACTCATCAATTGGTAGCAATTCACTATGATTTATATGATTACATTTAAGCCAGCATAAATCACCCATTGAATTCTAGCCAGAATATATTAATATTTGTTTATTTTCAAAACCCACTATTGCAATGAGCCAAGGTTCATGGAGTCACAGAGTCTCAGAACTTTTTCATTCAGAGACCTTTACTGCATAGACCATGTGTGAACTGTCACACCCATAGGGGTTGATTGTTTCCTCTGTACTGACCTGTAATTCTCATTGATACTGCTTTGAACATGTTTTTAGTATTGCTTTTGTTTACCTTTTCTCCGAGTGGTATTTGTAGTTTTTTCATATTTTGGAATATTATCTTTGTTTTTAGTTTGAAATATTATATTTTAATGGTGTAACTTTGTGTACTCATTATTTTTAGCTTTAAATATTGTCATTTAATGATATAAGGCACTGCAGGTTCTTTTTAAGGGGATAGGCAGGATTAAAGTATTTTAAATAATAGTAATAATAATGTTAAAGAAACAAACAAAAAGCATGTTAAGGTAGAATGGATGTTTCCAATGACAATATTTTTCTGTACTGTACTATCTTTGTTGCAATCTGAAGTATTTTGGAGTGACTTAGTTTTCAATGGGAAATTGAGACCAATTAGCTATGTAACAGATCTGTTCTTGATAGTGAGAACAACTGATAGAATTCCTTGATGGCATGGATCAAACATTGGCTTCTTTTTGGGATTTTCAAAGGGACGTAGCTATGGAAATATGCGTTTATTGGAAAATCAGCACATACATAGTTTGCTTAAATATAAGCTAGCTCAATACCCTGAAAGAGTAAGGACTAGTTAATTTTAGTCTACTGTCATGATAGCACTGAATAATGGTATATTATACACATTATGTACATAAAGATGTATTGAGCACATAATGGTGTATTGGGCACATGAAAAGGCAGGATTCCCTGGAAGATTATAATGCTGGGAAAAGTAGCAGGAAAAGAAGACAACCAGATACGAGATGGACTGACTCCCTAAAGGAAGCCACAACAGCAGAGCAGGGCAGTTGAGGACAAGTCATTTTGGAGACTGCTCATTTGTAGGGGCACTGTAAGTCAGAAGTGACTTGACGGCACATAACAAGAAATGCACCATAAAATACAAACAAGATATCATTGGCTGAAATCCTGCTCATAGCATAAGCTAAATTGCAATTTTCCATCCCTCTCTCCCTGGTAAGCAAAGTGCCCCGAATTGCATCCATTCTATCTTTTCAGTGTTTACCCAGAATTCATAAAGGCAGAAGAGAAAGCAGAGTAGAAGGAGAATCTGGCATTGATTTCTAGTATTTTGCTTCCTATAAGCACTCATGCACACTGAGTATGAATAACTAGAAAACTGTAAAAAGGGAAAGCTTGGCCTTCTGCACACTTTATAAATATTTGCACTTTATAAGACACTTTGTAGTTAATGGTGTTCCACCTCAACCATTTTCTTCAATATTTAAAGCTGATGAAAGAAAAACAAATGAGTACAGAACAATTCTATGCGCATGTAATTCAACACCCCCCTTGCCAAAGTAACAGTATTGGCCAATGTTACAAGGCTATTTATGTACAAGGCATGGGCACAAGCCCTGTCTGCCCATGAGAGCCATGGTTCCCAGCTTTGGGTAACCCAAATATAAACACAGTTCTTGGACTGCAATTCCCAGAAGCCTTCACCACCAGCTGTGTTGGCTAGTTTCTGGGATTTGCAGTCCAAGAATACTTTGGTTACCCAAGGTTTGGAACCACTGCACTAGAGGATGGCCAAGCATGGCAATTTGTAGCCTGCATAATTAACTTGTAAACTGACCAGAGAGTGCTTGAAGAACTATGGGGCGGTATATAAGCAGCACACTTTTTACCTAGTTCCAAAAGCCTCCCTTAATGAGCATGGTTTGCTTTGCTCATTGGTTCCCTTACTGCTGTGAATTGCTGCCTGTTGTGCTTCACTAGTACATGTGTTCTGAGAAAGGAGAGGGGATTTCTGCTGGGAGCCTGGAGTCAATGGTGTGTCACTCTTTCAATTTTTCCCCCAAAAGAGAGATAAATTTTAAATTAGAAGAACGAAGTTCTTTGCTTTTAAGTTTCTAAAAAGAACCTGTCAATGAAACTAATAGATTCAAATCTTGCACTTACCGGCCATTCCCTTTTTAAAAATTATTTTTATTTTTTGACTCATGAGTGAATCTGTAGGCAGCGCACACAAAACAATATTTTGTTTTTTGAATTAATTATGGCAATCCTATCAACCAGAAAACCTTCATTTTGAACTATACCATGTCGTACAGTTGGGAATGTCTCCAGATTTCTTCATATGTGAGCACACTCACCTTTATCAATAAAGGGTTGACCTCTTTCATCACTCAGGACAGTGATTCCCAACCTTGGGTCCCCAGATGTTCTTGGATTACAACTCCCTGGCCAGCACAGATAGTGGTGAAGGCTTCTAGGAGTTTTAGTCCAAGATCATCTGAAGACCCAAGGTTAGGAACCACTAACTTGGAGATTTAAAGCTATGATTACAATAAATGGCACAGAGGCTGGTGAAAAGTATGTCAGATCCACAGTTAGAAAAGTGTGACAGATTCACTGTAACACATACACATGGAAATGTCAACAAGCCATGGGATGGACTAGGGCAGGTTAAAGGTACAACCTAATAACAGCTATTTCTCAACTGAAGGATCTCCTGAGTCAGCCATTGCTTTAAGATAAGCATCTCGGGTCCTGCTCACCAGCAAGAATTATGAGACAGGGAAGCAACAGGGAAAAAGTTTTTTTCTTTAATGGTACTTTGGAATGTGTCCCTCACCCATCCCCAGAAAGTGTGTAAAGACTTCCACTGACATTTTGGAAGATTTTAATGACCAATTCATATCCTCCTGACGTTGGTTTTAATGTTGTAGATTTCCCACTAAAGTTCTATCCTACTGCTACTATCTTATTATTCTAGTACAGCTTCCCTCAACCTGGCACATGCTAAATGTTTTGTGCTGCATAGTTCCTGCCCACTAGTTATATAAGCTGAGGATATGAGTTGTAGTTAGAAACATCAGGAGGACATCAGATTGGGTCTCATATTGCTCTACCCCAATCTGATACCCTCTAAGAGACTCTTCTGAATAAATGTATGCAATTTATTCACTGAATAATGTTTATATGATTATACTTAAGTTGTAAAGCACCATAAGAGGGCTGTTGTTTTTTTTCAACTCTGGAAGGTAGTCTAGAAATCTTACTTTATTATTTTGTTTTTACCATAGGGAACATCCAACCTAATAGCAGCAGTCCTCTTTTTAACTATTCTCAGTTAAAATGCCAAAAGCAGTATAATTCATACTAGTTATGGTAGAATCATGGCAAGAAAACTTGGGATTTCATACTTAAAATAGAGCCAAAAATCTGAACACTATATTAGTAGAATGGAAGACAATGAAAGGAGCAGTAAATGTCTGTTTAAAGGAAATACTGGTGCCTCGCTTTACGATTGCCCTGCATTACGATAAAACCGCTTAATGACGATCTTTTTGCGATCGCAAAATGATGGTCTGAAGGGGGAAATTTTGCTTTGCGATGATCGGTTCCCTGCTTCGGGAACAGATTCTTCGTAAAACGACGGTTTTTGAACAGCTGATCGGCATTTTCAAAATGGCCGCCGGGTGATTAAAATGGCTCCCCGCTGTGTTTAGGGACGGATTCCTCGCTATACAGGCAGCGAAAATGGCCACCCTATGGAGGATCTTTGCTGGACGGTGAGTTTTTACCCCACTGGAATCCACTGAACGGGTTTCAATGCTTTTTTTTTTTTTTGCTTTACGAGGTTTTTGCTTAACGGCGATTTTCCTGGAACGGATTATCGTCGTTAAGCGAGGCACCACTGTACTAACACACAAACAGCTAGATTTAAGGCATTACAAGAGGCAATGTATCTAATAGTCTTGCAGATACAACAGAAATCTGACATGAAAAAGGGTTGCTTTGTAGGACAGAAAGCATTTCAGCAGTCAGTCCTCTAAACAAATAAATGAATTTGCAGTTGACTTTTTAAGGGATTGCTCAATATGGACTGAAATTGTTCTAAAATTTGTATTCGCCTTTCAACAAAATGCTAGAGCTGCCATTTAACCCATAAGCTACCAAAAACAAAGCAAATTGCAATGAAATTTAACACAATTATTATAATTGGACTGCTTTGTTATAAATTATATACATTCAGACCACATTAAAATATTATTTCATGTTACACCAAAGGGATTAAGGCTTTATGATATTTACATGAATCAGCAAGCACCTTTTAAAATACACCATTGTCCTATTCCTTCTAACATAAATTTAATGATGTGACCAATTTTTCTATGTCCTACTTTAAACAGTGATTATTGGAAGAGAAATTATAACAAAACAAATCCAGTAACTGAAACACTAAACGGCCTAAGGCAAGTGCTTTATATGTCTGACACTTGCGAAAAATACGTTCTTCTTTTCCTCAGACATCTACCAAGTTAGTTACAGGCTTATACAGCAAAAGTCTGCTCAGGTATCAAGGAAACACTTGTTTATTTCAGGAGACAAACAACAGCGAAGATCCTTAATCCACTAGCAGAATGAGACTCTTCAATGTTCTGTTGCACACGCACCACATAGACCAAGACTTGACATGATAGCAAGATGACAGCAAGGTGTACAAAACACTAAACGCACTGAAGTGGTGACAAGTTTCATAAAATCTCCCTTTCCTCTGACTGGTTCTCATGCAGTGAACGTTCAAATCTGTTCCTTAAAAGGTACTGCTTGTTTGCTTTCCTGGTGTCTTACATGACTTTCAGTGTGGTAAATTCATGTTGATACAACACATTTTACTGTGCCAATGACATACTACTAGAAATGGAACAGTGTCTTCTCTGACTAATGGCTTTTGAGACTCAAGGATGAAAACGTTCAACATCGGCAGATGAGGCTAACAGAAGGTGCTCGGGACAAACGGAACAAGCCGCTTGCATTTTCAAGTATTATTCTGAGGAGTGAGTCCTTTAACTGCAGTCTGTTAGCACTTTTTTAAAAAAAGCATTGTGCTTTTAGTCCATTATTTGTTTGCAAGTCTTTAATTTGGCTGATGGCTTTTTTCTTTTAAAAATATTGGCAACAAGTATAAGGACAGCAGAAGCTTGGCAAGAGTTATTTTATTTTCTGAGCCCACTTCATGTCGTCTGCTCTAGGTTTTTCTCCCGTCACTCCTTGAATGATATTCTCCAGGAACCTCCAAAACCTAATTTTCTCCAGTGGGTAGTTCAGCCATCCTGGAAGATTAAAGAAAGGAAGATGTGAATTAACAGGTAAGTTGCAGATACTGGAATTATTTTGTTTTAAGATTTTTTAATACTGTGTCTTCATTTTATGGATCTTAGTCCCAGTTTATCTACTATGATTTAGAGAAATCTTCAAATTAATTGTATCTGTAGATAGCCTCAGATCATCTTGGGTTACAACCTTCGCCCACTGAAGCAAATAAATTACCTCCTTTTCGGAAGCTACTGAAGTTTCTTAAAGACTGACTTGAGGCAAAGTGTCCACAAACCTGTGTTCTTAAAGAGTTTCATTTCTGAAACTTCACACATGCTACCTCCATGTCCATTAAATCAGATTTGGCTGACAATACATTTAGGGGCTTCTTTTTTTAAAGCACTGTGGACTGTCAGTTCAATTTGAGCTAGCAAATTATTGCTTCACTCCACCAGCTGCTATAACCCCTAGCACAAGCATTCCTGAAGGATATATAGCAAACTTGTCCATGAGGTCAGCTGCCACATGCTGATACAAGCTGGAATGAGAAGGGTAGCTGTAAAGAAGTTGCACGCCCCTCCATGGGCTTCCTTTAGAGTCGGCTGCATCCAGATTTTAAGCACATGCAAGTGGCTGCTAGAAGCAAGCTCCCTCCTTCCCACACCAGCTCTTTCCATCCCCTGAAAATTCCACACCGAGGATTAATGTGGGGAAAAGGGACGAGCCATCAAATCAGGGAAACAGACCTTCTGCAAGCAAAAGGCTGAATGCAACCCAGATTATACTGTGATAGTTATGCCAGAAAAATGTTCTGTAGATTGTTTTTTAATGTGGGCAAACAGAGACTGGAAAAATGAATTGCGAATTCCAGAACTTCTCAGCCACAATAAACACGGGCAAGAAGGGGATTTTCTCAACTGTGGGCCAACACAAAGGAAGACTAGTGATTAGACAAATGTGATGTTAACGGGAGTGAAAACACAAATGCTTATTTTTTGCAAAAGTCTCACATTCTAAATTTGGTCAAAATATTTAAAACCCTAGTAATATTTGAGTGCTTTTTATCTGGCCAGAAAGATCATCAGCTACCAAATTACCATGTGGCTTTACTATTTATTTATTTAAAACATTTTTATCTTGCCTTTCTTCTTTACAAGAACCCAAGGCAGCTTTGTATTGCATATCAGCCACTGAATACCATAACTATATTAGCTTTGAAATACTGTCTGTAAACCCTGAAACTGTATATTGTTGTTATATACAGTGGTACCTCAGTTTCCAAATGCCTCGGTTAATATAATTTTCGGTTTACGAATGAAAAAGCTATTGAAAATAATGCCTTGGTTTACAATAGTTTTTTTTGCAATCTGAAACAAGTTTACCCAGGATGCACTGCACCTGGGAGGTTTATAGTGCCACTCCCGCGCATGTGTTCCTATGGGAAACCATAGGCTTCACATATATATACAGTACAGCCCCTCCTCTGATGTCCCGCCTTCCACTCCCCATAGGATGGAACTTTCCCTCCAAACCCATGACAGACAGGTAACATCAGTGCTGTATGTAACAACCATGTTTCGGTTTGCTAATTTTTCACAATACGAAACATCCCGGAGAACACATTAAATTAGTAAACTGAAGTACCGCTGTATTAAGATCACATATCAGACACTTTCAAAACTGGCATCCTGCACCATTTATTTTGTGTCAAAATTTGAAAAAAACACCATAGGGAAGAATGTTGGCCCTAGCAGTAAAATACTGCACGCAGGCTGATTTGACAGTAACAAATTACTGCTGCATATAAGGAATTTATAATGTTGATAACAGTGGTTTTATTTAATTTGCATATTCTGATGTAAATTAACAGGGTGAAAACCAATATGCAACACCCACTGTTTTGCTCTCACCCAAGGACCTCACAGCCCTCCCCCAGTTGGCACAACTTCTTATGCATGGGGGTGGCTCTGCAAGATCAGGAGGAAATGAGGAGGGAGGGAGTGACTGCCAGAGAGAAAATTAAACTCCCATACATCTCCCTGCCCAAAAACTGAAAATGCCTCCCTGACACCAGAATAAAAGATAAATATCAGTATTTAAACAACCAGAAATTAAGAGTTCCAAAATGAAACAGCTAGAGCAATACAACAATGGAACCAATTACCTCAGGAGGTGGTGAGTGCTCCAGTGCTGGAGGCATTCAAGAGAAAATTGGACAACCATCAGTCAGATCTGCTTTCATTTGGATTTGTGCACTGAGCAGGAGGTTGGATTTGATGGCCTCATAGGCCTGTTCCAATTCTATGATTTTATGAAAGGGCTTTTGACTGGATAGGTACTTAATTTACACCCTTTCAGGACTTCCTGCAAAGTTTCAGTTTTACAGCCTAAATTAGGTACTGGGATGGTGAGAAAGGAGCCATAAAATACCAATACACCCACTTAGTGGCCATTAATGACGATACTGTAAGCTGCCCAGAATAATGGCCTAGCCACTAGATGGGAAGGATAAAAATTTAAATAAATAAAATTTTAAAACCTGATGAGCATCGGAGGGGGCAGAGAGAAGGACTGCAGAGCAGATGTGGCTTCCTGACCTCTGAAATTTGCCATTGCCTGATTTAGACAATCAGACAGTGGCTGGAGTTTTAGGGCAACAGCTTGCTTGAGCACACACAAATCAATATGCAGCCACTGGCCAAAAGCCATTACAATCTTCTAGCTCTGCAAAGGATAACTTTATTAGCAGTTTCACACACCCCCGCGCCTCCATACTCACATGAATACATGCACATGCACGCACACAAACATTATTTTCTCGGGGCACAATTGGCTGATTTCCCCATTGCTTAATATTATAAGTACAAAGGGGATCGGGCTGAGCACACAGGTGACAGTCAACATTCTTCCAAGTCTCTTGTGCACCTATATGGACATCTTTGCCCCACTGGCAAGCCATCTGCCCTAAACGCCAGAACGGCTGATAACATCTACCATGAGAAATACAGCTTCACTATCGTTTACCTGTAGTAATACAGAAGTAAGTTTCATGAGGAGACACGTGGTGGATCCTGTGGTGTTTCCGTGGCAGGATAATGTGCCAATCCTGCAGGAAGACCACCCATCGAGGAAGACCAAAGTATGTATGGGACCACTTGTGAATCTGGTTTGTCAACGTTGCAAATACAGCCAGGGCAAAGACGTAGCACTCCCAAGGGCACGTTTGGTGTAATGCTTCTGGAAGAAGGAAAAAAATGAACAAAGAGGGACTAAGATTGTCTTTACTCTCACTGATATATGCTTATGAAATCAGTCTTTTGCACAGAGCAGCCCCCTATGCCTTTGCTCTCAATACCAGGAGCAGTCTCAAGAGCAGACATTCTCAACTTTTTTTTTTTTGGCCCTGGCCATAAACACAATTTAGGCCGAATCAGGATTGTATAAGTCACAGAATGAACCTTATAAGGTAGTGTGAAGATTTATTTCCAGTCTGTGGCCCCTTTCAAATGTGCCAGGGCCTCCCCTCTTGAGAATGGCCGTTCTAGAGGTACCTGAAATTTGAACAGTTTATTTTATGACACTGTAGTCAACATACATGGCTTTGGTAGTTCCCAAGACCTTGTCTGATGTCTGCTACTATGAGTAAATAATGCCAGGATGCTGAATGGATCTGACTTTCAATTGCCTGTTGTTTCCTGACTTTTAAAAGTACTTCAAGAAACTCCCACTTTTGAGATTTCTCACACCCACCCTAACCTCTCCTGTTGCTACTGGGTCATCCCTTTTACTTCCCTAAGAAAAGGGCTTTAGGGATAAAATAGTAAAGTCCTCTGCTCTCAGTATCATCTGAGAACCACTGATAGAAATAACTGCAGACAAAGAATAATGTGCAAATAGTTTGCAGACTTCTCAGGGGCAGCTGACTGACTAATACTATTGACTGATTGCTGCATGAGACTAATAATTCAGCTATGTTCTGAAAATGCTTTAAGTTGCTTATTTTTCCAGACACTTAAGAATAAATATCAGAGGGTTGAGGGCACTTTAGCATGTACTTCACGGGTGTCTTAATATAGTGGTGCCTCGCATAGCGAACGCTTCGCTATGCGATGAAACCACACAACGATGGGTCCCAGGCCATCGCTGGAGCGTTCGCTCAGCTATGGCCCCTAAGGGCTTTTTTCGCTATGCGATGATCGCGCGGACGCGATCAAAGCATAGCGAACAGCTGATCGGCGGTTCCAAAATGGCCGCCGCTAAAACAAAATGGCGACCGCTGTTTTGCCTTGCTAACGAGGCATCCAAAATGGCCGCCGCAATGGAGAAAACTCGCAGAACGGTGAGTTTTAAGTCCATAGGAACGTATTAAATCAGTTTTAATACGTTCCTATGGGCTTTTCTGTTTCACTTAACGATGGATTCGCTGAGCGAGGGTTAATCCGGAACGGATTAACCTCGCTAAGCGAGGCACCACTGTATTCTAAGGTGTGCTCCTTCCCTTTGCAATCTACAATAGCTTTCGCAACCTGACAAACTCTACAGACCTCCAGCATGACCAATGAGGAGGTATGGTAGTCCAAAACATCTGGAAAACAACCACCTGGGGACGTTAGCACTGTGCATGTGAGGAAACATGCTAGGCCAAGCGTGCACCGACCTTCACTTTCATTCACGTCAAGAAACGCTTGAGTTCTGCTGACTTCATCAGATAAACTACCTTACTCCTTCTACATCAAGATGATGTTTAAATCAATGAGAAGGGCTGAATATTTCATTACAAATTAAGCCATTGACGCAGCTCTGAATAGGTTTTGCTAAAGACATTCCAATGTTGCAGCTCAGGAATGCATCTTGCCAACATCCTTTCATTAGGGAAAGATTTATCAGTAACCCACAGGAAAGCTTTTAGCCACTATCTTTAGTATGTGGTTTTCCTTACTTGCCTCAGACATCTCAACTGTTTTTCCTAAATTGAAGCTTCAGTCCCAAAAATGCATCTAATATTAGTGTGCCTTATTGAGTTTATTTTTCCCAAGCATGACATGAAACAAGATTTTCAATCTGTTGCATTCTTTGATTTTCTTTATTTGCTTATGAGTATCTATATTTAAGAGTCCTGGAAACTAGATCTGAATGGTCCCTGTAGCCAGGTGCCTCACCTAGCCCATCTTATTTGTTTTTTTTTATTTATTAAGCTTGTATACCACACTGATTAGTCATAAAAACTATTCTGGGCAGTTTACATTCATAATGAAAGAGATACAACATAAAATAAAGTAAATCTGAAATCATATAGCACCACATAAACAAATAATACAACCTACAACTAATAAATCAGAGACCAATCAATGATGAGCAGGCAACATTATGATGCTCAGTCAATGTAACATTAAGAGAGGGTGCTCTCAAAGGCTTCGGTAAACAGCCTTGTTTTGAGCATCCTCTTAAAAACTGGGAGGAAGCCAGGCACAGTTTCACCAGGAGCCCATTTGTTCGCTTTTCTCACAGATGCAGTACAGGTGGCAGAACATCTCTTGTGGCACAAAAAGCATATTCACAACATTCTAGAAGCTGCAAGCATAATGTACCTGGTGGATTTACAGGTCACTCACCTGGTGCTAAAGACACCAATTTGTAGGCCATGTTTGCCAATGGAACGACTGCCAACATGCAGTTATCACCATTGGTCTCTATGAAGTCGTGTCTAGTAATTGCTGTTGGATCAATGTGATGTTCTCTGAAAGGTCTGATAAAAGCCTAGAAATAATAAAAATGTAGACATGGGATTATGTCAGTGTTAAAAGTCAAGTCCACAACCCATACAAATCCTATCAGGTTGTCTGCCTGTATGGAACCAATAATTCAGGTGACTAGAAGTTCCCAACCCATACAAATCCTATCAGGTTCCTGTATGGAACCAATAATTCAGGTGACTAGCTAGTGAAAAACATTGTTTTATAAAGAATGATTATAACCAATGCTTTCAAGTAACAAGCTGAAAGTAGCATAGTTATGTGCAGCAAGTTATTTCTGAGAGACAATGAAGGTAAGTATGAAGTTACATTTAAAAATAATGCAGTAAATGGGAATGGTGTCACTTTTTGGAAACGTGTAACAAGGAATGTTTTCTAATTACAGTGCATTTTAGAAGATCTCTCTAGTGGAATTTTCCAAGTATTATGCCTCTCTCCAATCAGCTCTAAGAAATTTTTTTAACAATTTAGAAAAGTAACAAGTTACAAAATCAACAAATTTCCTCAGAGTGGTGGCGGGATTATATTGTAAAGAGTTACAAAATAAAGACTTTTTTTAAAAGGTAACTTTCCAAGCCTTGGTTACTATACCTCCAGGATGGTTAAAATAAACATACAATGGTCTAAAGCTACTGACCGAATTTATGGCAGTGGTGAGATCTGACTGTGAGATCTCAGAGGTTATGGATTAAGCACTCTACTGTTATGAGAATCTATATTTATAGATCCACTGTAATCATTGTGAAGGTAAATAAAGCAGTGTTAAGTTGGCAGTTAATTGGTAGTTAACCTCATACCACAAGACACTGTGATCTGAGGAGTCAGCAACAGGCCATGTCACAAGGAAAAGCTGTTCAGTACTTCTTGGCTTGCTCAACCCAGAACAAGCTTAGCTTGGAGCTACATGTCAGTTTTGTGCTAAGTACACCAGGCTTATTATGATGGGATAAAGTGGGGTGGGGTGAGCAGAAAGAATTAAATACAGTCTTTGGCTAGATCAGCAGAGAAAGCACTTGCATGTACCAGCATTAAGAGACTGAATAGTGAGGCGTGGCTAAATTGTTTGGCACAAAATGTCAACCCTGGGGGAACACAGGAGGAAATAAAGGTGTGCATTGTGTATTTCCATTGCAACATTTGCTTTTTATGAATACTGAAAAGGCCAAAATACTCATTAGATGGGCTGCTTGTATTCCTATAATTTTATTCTGAAAGAATGCACAAACAAGCAAGTTTAAGTTGACAAAACGTGAGGATCTGCCCCTTTACTGCCTTTGTGTTTAAAACAGCAGGAAGCATAAGGTCAAGTAAAACTGGTAGGGTTCAGCCAGCATATCCAAAGGCTAGTGAAGTAACAGGAAACTCTTCTGGACTCACATAATCACTCTTCCCCTTAATGTTTTGATTTGTACTCTCATCTCTGGCCTGCAATAACTAGGATTTGCTGGGACATCCAAATAAGGAGTGGTTATCATAAACCACAGTTTATTTGCAAACTGTGATTACAAGTTATGGTTTAAAGGAGATGGTCAATTTTGGTGGTGGATTATCTGATTTGTGGCAACTTCCCTAAACCCGGCACCCTCCAAATGTGAGCTGGAGCTGAAGGAAGCACCAAATATTTGAAGGGCACCAGGCTGAAGAAGTCTGGTTTAAAATAACCATCATTGTTCAATCTAGACATCAGGGGAAACGGTGGTTACTGCACAAAGAACCAGAAGGAATACATGTGTAAACTGCAAATATTTCCACCAACTGCACTGTAGTTTGGCCAAATTATCTGAACTGGGTCATTCTGAAGTGAAACTCCAGCTATATAGTCACTCTGCATCCAAATGCTGTCTATTATAGTCCCATTGTTACAGCCAAGTTCCAAACATTTGAGTAAAATTCTAACAGCTCTCCAGTTGAACTTGTACAAACTCCCATTAATTAAAAAAAAGTCAAACCTTTCCAACAATTGGCAGATCTACAGATCCCCAGGTGTCTGCTCCCCAGTGTACCAGACCCGAGACAAAGTCAGCAGTAATAACTCCTGCAACTTTAAGAAACAAAGAGAAAAGACCATTTAAAAAAGCAGAAAGGGCATCAACTCTTATTCTGACAGATATATGAAGATTAATAATGGTGATGCTTTTTTTCTACACAAGATACTATTTTTGTGACCAATTCCTTTTTCTTTTTTTTTAATACACAACTTGTCTTCTTGGACTGCTGCATAAATTCAGAATCCAATGTGCGAAATGCATTATCAAATCCAGTACATGACATGCTTTTACAGAAGAATCTGCTTTTTCATGGGTATCCTACAAGCTGTATGGTTCTAATCTGCTGCATTATCTATCTTGGTATCCAAAAAGCATTCATTAATAAGTACTCATAATAATGAACACTTTTAGGGTTCAACATGCCTCACACATATGTTTTCTCATCCTTACAGCAGCCTACAACGTACATCGATATTGCTCACACCATACTGTCCAAACAGAGCTAAAGCTGTCCGTGAAATGGCTCGTACTTGATAAAACAGAGACCACATCGAACCGGGAACTCTGAACCACCGACCAAGTCTTACCAATCATATGACACCGGTTTTCACTGTTTTTCAACTCTTGTAGAACACATACTCCTAACTATGTTTGTGAACATTATCTAATAGGGAGGGCAGAGTAGATGAGGAGATCAAAGGGGGGAGAATTAAGTCCAGATGATCTGTTTATCCCAATGGTAGCAATTTGGCATCAAATGCTGTAAATCTGTAGCATTTGTTTTGGTTTAATCAAGCATTATCCTATCGTTGTGATATAGCATAGTTTTCTTTCGCTACTTATGTGTGACTAGTTCAGTCCTTCACAGGAATAAGAGACTGCAACTAAAGGGACACAAGAAAAACAAAAGCTTCATACAATCAGTCGATGAATAAAGAATTTAGATTGACTAAAGAAATGTAGCTTATCATAGAATATTGTGCTATTTTGGAAATAGTAATTCTTAAATACTAGATACTTAAGTGTGTATTTTGCATCCAAGCAAACAACCCCAGCAATTCACGAAGAATAACTTCGGGCACCTGTAATCCTCAACACATACATAGCTGATTACCAGAGTGAATATCTCAGCAGGTTTCTCTAAGACACTGTCCATCTTTTGGATGCCAAAGATAAAATTTACAGAAGATATACACTCAGGATGTGCTTTCTGCACTCCAAAAATTACAAGCTAGAATTCATTAAAAAGCCATTTAAGAAAAACTACATCTCCTTTTTTTTCCATATGCAGTGGATGCAGTTCCGTCTCTTGAGCGCTGCCTGGGGACGGTTCTGCAATGGATGCAGTTGAATGGACTGAGATTGAACCCGGACAAGATGGAGTTCTTGCGGGTTGGCACCCCTGATGTCAGTGGTTTGGGAAACTCCCCCTCTTTTTTGAGGGTGACTTTCACTACAGAGAGTGTGGTTCGCAGTCTGGGGGTTCATCTTGACCCAGCGCTTACCATGGAGACCCAGGTAGTGTCCGTGGTTCGGTTCACCCATTTATATCTTTGGTGGATCATCCTATAGATGCAGGGGCTCTCACCACACTTGTCCATGCGCTCGTAGTCTCAAGAATAGACTACTCTAATGCTCTTTATGTGGGGCTTCCTTTGAGACTGATGCGGAAGCTTCAAATGGTCCACAGCGGCCAGGCTATTAACAGGGGTGAAAAGATTCCATCATCTTTCCCCCATCCTGGCCACCTTATACTGGTTATCTACAGTATTTGCTTCTGCATCGATTTCAAGCTGTTGACTATAAAATATAAAGCCCTAAATGGTTTAGGGCCTCGCGCCCTAAACAGTAGGCCCTCGATACTTGGCAAGAATGCCTTCTTACATCTAGTTCTGCCCGTATCACCTGTTCCAGCCAGGCTGGATGGTTGAAGGGTCTAACTCCAAGAGGGGCCCAAAGGGGGGAAAAATAAATAAAAATTAGGCCTTCTTAACAGTGGCCCCTTGTCTCTGGAACAACTTACAGGACCCAAAGGGGGGGAAAAAACTAGGCCTTCTTAACAGTGGCCCCTCGTCTCTGGAACAACTTACCATTAGGGCCTTTAAGAGAAAACTAAAGACCTAGCTCTACAGGCAAGCCTTCCCAACAGCCATCTCTTATTTTTTTTATTTTGTTCTTGGACTCTTGTAGTAAAATTGGGCCCCATCTTGTTTTTATTTTCTTTATTTTGTTCTTGGACTCTTTTACCGTATTTATGTTTTCATTTATGTAATCTTTTAACGTATTTATGTTTTCATTTATTATATCTGTTTTTTTTATTTTTGTGTAACCACCCAGAATAGACATATTCTAGTTTTTTTGTGTGTGTGTGTAACCACCCAGAATAGACATATTCTAGATGGGCGGTATAAAAGTCTAATTAATAGTAATAGTAATAACAACAACATTTATCTCTTCTCCCTTCCCTTTCACTTTGCCTACATGCCATCTGTAAATCTAGTTCTAATCTGCTGCACTATATATGTATATAGAGAGAACGCTTCTGAGACTGAAAAAAGAAAAGCAGTTTATAACGTTTTTACTTAGAGAATGATCTGATAACTCAGATAGCAAAGGCATACAATTCATATACAGTATTGTCCTCAGCCATAAGCAAATTCAAGCACATGGCTCACATGGATTATGGCTGGGAAGCCAAATTTCCCCTCCCAATCAGGGCACTTAGATCAGCTCTCTTATCCCGGTTTACAGGATTTTGTCCAGAATTAGCAAGATTGCAGACAGCAGATAAGAGTTAACAATGGAGAAGAGAGCAGGCTACTTTTAACGTTGTTCTATTTGCAGAAAGGAATTATGTCTACTTCCTTCACGATATATAGCCAGGCGAAGACTCATGCTTCTATAATATAACTCACTATTAGCCCCCTATCCCTGATCAAAACATAACCTTGCAAACATGATCTCTACAGAGCAGAAAGACAGTTCTCATGGAAGCTCTCCCTAGAGCCGCGGTAAACACTATGTGCCTCTAACACCCATTTCCCATAAGCCTCACACGTTTCTTAAAGCACAGCACAACACCTTAGGTTTAAGTTGGCATAGACAGCTAGCGTGTGAACTGGAATCTAAACAAGCCACTCTAAGTAGAGACTGCTGAAGGACAAATAGAAAACACTTAAGATGGGTCTGACAAACTAAAGAAGATGAGATACAGACAGGGCTGCTAAACACAACCTATCCTTTATATAACTGATGGATAGCTCAGAGGTTTAGGCAATTGGCTGCAGAGCCAGGAGTTGGGGGTTTGATTCTCCACTGTGCCTTCTTGACAGGTGGAAAAATACCTATCAAAACTTTTGAGAAGGCATTCACAGTTATTACAGCAGATGAATTTAATTACTGCTTTCACTGCTAGAATGTTATTTATTATTTCTGGGCTATTATTTGCAATTTTGCATTTTATAAGTTAGACTTTGAGGAGTCTTACTTATAAAGTTGGTAGGAGACCCCTGATATATTCTCCACCTTGGTTTCACTTCCCCCTGGTCTGAATAGCTTCCTTAGATGGTCAAAGGACTGGGAGTAAGGGATAATCCCACTTCTGCAGTCCTTCTCCACCCACTATCATTGGTCATTAATAGTAGTTAACAGTGGTCTTTCTGGTGAGTGTGGTCCTGCTTCCATGAGTCAGCTTCCAGATACAACCTACAACATTCTCTAGCCAAGATAAACCAATGAAAATGCTGGGTGGGACTCTTGTTTTTGGACTACAACTCTACTTTTTGGAGTTGTAGTTGAAAAAATTGATAGTCTCCAACCTGCACACAACAACTGTGCCCTGAGATTCCAGAAGGCACTCATGCACAATGTGGGTCAGAACAGACTTGGAAATCCTGGGACATTATCAGTTGCCCCAACTATATGCACTTCCTAGACAGGAATTCCCTGATCAAAATTCCAGGGGCTTGAGGCAAGAAATCAAAATGCTCACACAAGTATTTAATTACACATGGATGAGGAATGAAGGTTCCACCAGCCATTTAGTGGATGGACAGATGGACATGCATGTGCACATTTCTAATCCCTTGTGGTTCCCATAGAGGAAATTCCTGATAAATTCCCTTACAGCTCCCACACTGGTGGAGATTCTTGGTGATTTCTGAGGCCTGAAATTCAAGAACTTCAAAGTCCCTTGCCAAGAATGTACACAGACTGTTGGTTCTGGAATACTGGGAGTTGTAGTGAACAAAATTAACTTTTCCACATTCTTTTCACATTAAGAGGAAAAGCAGCAGCCATTAAAGCCTGCTTTAACAAACAAGATTTAAAAAGCCAATATTTTCTGAAATAAATTAAGTAATATCCCAGTACCCCTTCACAGATTGCTGCCTTGTCGTGGTAAAGGGGCTTGTGTAATTCAGAGAAGCTATGGGCTATGCCGTGCAGGGACACCCAAGATGGACAAGTCATAGTGGAGAGTTCTGACTAAACGCAATCCACCTGGAGTAGGAACTGGCAAGCCACTCCAGTATCTTTGCCAAGAAAATTCCATGGACAGAAACAAAAGGCTAAAAGATATGACGCTGGAAGATGAGCCCCTCAGGTCGGAAGGCATCCAACATGCTACTGAGGAAGAGTGGAGGACAAGTACAAGTAGCTCCAGAGCTAATGAAGTGGTTGGGCCAAAGCGGAAAGGGTGCTCAGCTGCGGACCTGCCTGGAAGTGAAAGGAAAGCCTCTCATATAGCTTGGTCTGAAGCACTGTAGGGCTTTATAGGTCATAAAACAGCATGTACCTCAGTGAATGAGTTTGCAATTCCACCTTCACAATAAACTACAAAATTGTTCAACGAGATACTGAAGACTGCAATCAATCTTTACAGTCAAAGGTAAGTAAATACAGCTGGGCAAGCCAGAGAAAGAAACAAAATGCTCTAGGGATATCCTATAATGATGCCTGCTTTGCATTAAGTTACAGAATCATCCCAAGCACTCATTTTAAAGCCGGGTGGACAAAAATCCTTTGAAAAAATCAATTTAAAACATGATTCAAA